CACCACTTCCAGCTTTTTTCTTATGTGGTGCTGAGGAATCGAACCCAGGGCCTCGAGCATGCAAGGCAAGTGCTCTACCACTGAGCCTCCTTCCCAGCCCCCTGGAATAGACTTTTGAAGACCCATAAATAAAACCATATACTTACAATTATCTGATATTTGATAAGGGACCCAAAGATATACAATGGAAAAAAAGATAGCTTCCTCAATAATTGGTGTTGGGAAAAGTGGGCATCTATATGCAAAAAGCTAAAAGTGGATCAATGTTAGTCATAATGCACTCATATCAACTCAAAGTGGATCAAAGACCTCAATGTCAGACCTAAAAATTTGTAATTACTGCAAGAGAGAATAGGAGAAATACTAGAACTCATAGGCATAAACAGAAACTTTTTGAAGAGTCTCATGGGCACAGCAGATAGGAAAGACTTGAAAAATGGGATTACATCAAAACAAAAAGTTTCTTCATAGCAAAGAACATAGTTACTAAACTAGAAAGACAACCAATAGACTTGGAGAAGCTTTATACCACCAATATATTTGATAAAGGCATAATACCCAAAATATATAAGGAGCTCAAGAAACTAACCTCTCCCAAGACTAATAAACCAATTACTAAGTGGGAAAAAGAGCTAAGAAAAGACTTCTCAGAAGAAGCACCACCATTGAGCAAAAAAAATAAGAAACAGTGTCCAGGCCCTGAGTTTATGCCCCAGTACTGATACAAAAATAAAAAGGGGGGCTGGGAAGGTAGCTCAGCGGTAGAGTGCATGTCTTGCAAGCATGAGGCCCTGGGTTCAATTCCTCAGCACCACATAAACAGAAAAAGCTGGAAGTGGCGCTGTGGCTCCAGTGGTAGAGAGCTAGCCTTGAGCTGAAGAGCTGAGGGACAGCGCCCAGACCCAGAGTTCAGGTCCCATGACTGGCAAAAAATAAAAAATAAAAATAAAATAAAATAAAAAGGGAATTGAACTTTTTCATTCCTAAATACCAGCAGGCAGAAACATGAGAATTTCATTTACAAGGCCAGCCTAAGCAAAAGTATCAGAGAGATAGGTTCTATGCCAGCCAAAGGAGCAAGAGTCTGAAAGAATCTATGTTCCAAATAATCTGAAAAATGTCAGACTAGAGTGTTCACAATGTGTTAGAGCACCAGAGCCCTGATCAAGTAAGACAAGACAGAGCACGGGTCCAAGACTTGGTACTATCATAAAAAAGAGAAAAATACAAAAAGACAGGAAAGAAATAAAAAATGGCTATAGCTTAAGGGGTAGAATGCTGGCCAAGCATTCAACAAAAATAGGTTAAATGGAGAGGACCAAAAAATAAAAAGAGGAAGGAGGATTACAAGCAACAAATTTCACAATATAACCTTTGAGGTTGAGGACATAGTTCCATGGAAGAGCACTAGCCAGCAAGAACAAGATCCATCCCAAAAACTGCATAAAAAGCATAAAACAAAACAAAGCAATACAAGGATAATTACAGCAGTAAGAGAGAGTAACTGGGCTCATGCAAGGCACTGGAAAATCCTGGAAGACTACTTGACCTCTCTATACATGCAATTCAATCAGACATAAAGAACATGTCAGCTCTGCCTTTCAGGCACCTCCACTGTTTTTGTCTTGGTATAAGACAAACTTGTGGCCACTAGTCTGTACATATGTACTTAGCCTGAAAGAAGTCTTTCTTTTGGCAACAAAACACTATATGAATTGAAATTTAAAAAAAAAGAAGGGGGCTGGGAAGGTGGCTCAGTGGTAAAGTGCTTGACTTGCATGCATGAGGCCCTGGGTTCGATTCCTCAGCACCACATAAGCAAAAAGCCGGAAGTGGCGCTGTGGCTCAAGTGGTAGAGTGCTAGCTTTGAGCTGAAGAGCTGAGGGACAGCACCAAGGCCCTGAGTTCAGGCCCCACAACCGGACCCAAAAAAAAAAAAAAAAAAAAAGAGCACCTCAGAGGCCAGAGCTGCTATGTGGGGAAAAAAAGCCCCACTTTTGTCACCTAACTGCAAAGATCTTGGCAGAAAACCCAGCCTAGTCCACTAATAGGCTTCTGGGAAAGAGGGAGGAGAGGATCTGGTAAGTGGCCTATGGGTCTTTGCATGTGCTCTTCACTCAAGCATCATAAATCTTCTAGCTCTGTGTCCACAAACACAGAGCTTGAAGATCCCTTGAAGATCCCTCCAGTAACCAGTGGAACAAGCAACAAGTTTAAAACCAATGAATGCCCATGTGATTGAATGTGAATGACACTTACTCAGTCTTCCATTTTTCACTGGGGCTCTTTGAAGCTTTGCGTTTTAATCCTTTGACAGCTGAAAGAATAATAACTGATTTATAACCAGAAAATTGGTACCATTAAGCCCTCGGGAGAAAGATAAACCTTACAAGAGCCCAACAGTCAAACATAGCAAAATAGATAAAATATCATCTATCAGTAAAACTATGCATAAAGGTTGTATACTGCTGCCTTCTGAGTGACTCTGTCTAGGGGATCACTGAGACATCAGTGCAGTGAGCTGAGTAACACCATCACAGAAACTGAAGGCTATGTTCTTAGAGACTAGTTTATGTGGGCCACTGAGGCACACAGGGGCATAAAGAATGAAATGACATAACTCATACTAGCAGCAGCACCCTTCACTCAATCTGCAAACCCAACCTTCTACTTAATCTCCACTCACACTGCTAGTAACTCTACCAAGAGCTTAGGAACTAAGAGTTTCCATCACTCATTCCTTAAGGAATTTATTGAACATGAGTCATAAGCCAATCATGAAGCTAGAACCTGAGACAGACTCTAGTCTCACTAGAAGAAAAAATTCCTCCTATGAGAACTATTGGGGAATAGACTCGGGATCATGATTCAGCACTGTGTGACCATGATTAGTGCATCTGAAGAGACTTTTAAAAGTTGAGAACCAATAGAAGAAATGTGTACATTCTTAGACTCTATGTTTGATAAGAACAACCTTTACACATCATGACAGCTGTGTGGAGAATGGCCAGTTTTTTGCGTGTTTTATACCAAAATGGAATTGGTAAACCATTTTTTTAGAAAAAAAATTTAATTGAAAAGCTAGGAGGGAGGAGCCTCTTTAACTTATGACCAGAGGAAATGACATATGATGGAATCCTATATAAAATGAGATAGAATTTTATCCACAATATGACAGAAAGACTGAGACAAAACAAAGACCAAGAGAGAGAAAAGGACATGAACAGAAGAGATTGGTAAAGGGGTGAAGAAGCAGTGAGACAGGGGAGAGAAAGATAAAGAAGAAAAAGAAAAATGGTATACCCTCAACACAAAAATTGTAAGGCAAAAGCATTCTGAGTTGTAGAAAAGCAAATACTAAGAAATAGGAGTATGAGAAAGACAATGCTATTGGTGACTCCCACATTTCTACGAAGATCCTTTCCACTGGGGTACCCAAACCTAATTGCTACTAGGAGGTTATTGTAATGGATAAAATCCTGCAGGCAGGACAGGCATCCCTGCAGCCCTACCACAGACACATCAAAAAATTAAGCATAGCACACACACTGGGCCAGATGTCCACATTCCCTAGGACAGACATACTTGAAATACTTGGCTTAACAGATGTCACATGTATGTATATTTTTTAACTTCCTTTTCCTTAGTCTACTACACACACAGAAATTTTATCAACTTACTTTTTACCTATAATTTTTAGGTTAGTCTCAGGATTAATTGGTGAGTAGCCAAGATTTTCCCCAAGATCCAGTTTCTCAATGATAGTATTGGATAAATTGTGCTGGGAGACGGTAAATCCATCCACCTCATTTTTATATGAAGAAACTTGGCACTAATCATGGAAACCACCTTTCTATTAGCTCAGGAGCTTACAAATTGTTCTGTTATTGTCATAATCAGTAACAGTTGGAAGCTTCTGGTTGAATGGCTCTGCCACAGCGTCAGATATATCTTCCAAAACCTCATCTGAAACTCCAGACATAATCTTTTATAAATATGCTCCCTCTACCACCTCCTCATACACATCACATTACTGAGGACAAAATAAACAAGCTGGACAATGTGACATTAAAAATTACAGTTAAGAATAATGCTTACTTTATACTGTTTGTCTTCTTCATTACTATTATTTTACTAAGCAGTGACATAAAAGAACAATCAAAGAGCAGTGTCACATCACTTTCCTAAATAGAATGATGTGCTTGCTCAATGTTTCTCAAACAGGAGTCTATAAACTTGGAAATATTCACCACTCTATAGCAAAATAAGAGAAAGTAGGAGTTAAATTTCTATACTTCATATTTTATAATTATGTCCTGATTAGATATCTAGTATTCTCTAGTTTATGTAACTATGCAGGTATTAGATAATAGCTGGAAGTGTTAAAACCACACCTCGTAAGTCTCTAGCAAAGTGGAAAGAAGGTTCCTCTTCATGTGATTCCCACATATCAAGAAGAATACAAAAGCTGAGAGTGAAGCAGAAAAGCCCCCCAATGTCTCAGTCTCAGCAGTTCACTATCCTTCCTGCTTTTAGAGTGTGTCTCTATATAGGTAAGAAGTCTTATATGAAGAACAGTCGAAGGTTAAAGCAACATAAACAGTTGCTGCTGTTACAGGAAATGGATCTGGGTGTGTGGGAACCCAGTCACAAATACATCTAGCACACATGTAGGAAGAAATAGCACTGCCTATTAGGTTTCAAAAACTTCTGGGCACTGAGGCTTCAGAGATCACCACCTACTCTAAGGGAGAAATATACTTGCCTTCAGTTTTTATCTTGCGTATTTTAGCTGTGGTGCTCACTTGGCCATTTTCTTCATCAGATACTGGCTCAACAATTGGGTACCTAATAAATGAGACATAAAGAAAGAGATCTGAACATAACGTTCTTCTCTTTATTGCATGGTCCACCTTTTCTAGAATGAATAAGACGACATCTTGACTATATTTGGTGTTTTCCCTACAGTAACTCTGTTTTCTTCTTTGCAACTACTCAGACTTTCCATTGCTTCTGATTTTCCATCTTCCTATGCATCCTTCCCTGTGTCTCATGTCCTTTCAAAAGGAGATGTCTGTCATATGCTAAGTATAAACTGGGCACTCTCAGTGTATTATCCTAACAGTACTGGGAAAAATCAGGTCAGAGAAATGTCTATTAGGTCCTCCTTATTATCAACTTACAGATGCAGTGGTCTGACAAAGACAGAGAGTGGAAGTTGAGATTGTCTGCCTTAGAGAACAGAGGCTTCTCCTCAGTACCACTCTGCAATCAGAAGTCAGCACCCAACTCTGGTGTCAGAGTACCACACACATCACACAAACTGGGAAAAAACTGAGTCAGAGAAGTGTCTACTTGGATCTCCTCCTTATCATCAACTTATAGATGCACTAGTTTATATAGTCAGTACAATGACACTCTGGACTACATAGTGGACTACAGACAGAATGAAAGAAAAGAACAAAAGAAAAGGTAGATGATAGATTATATAGATAGATAAATAGATAGATACATAGATAGATTAGATAGATATTGGGCTAAACAGATTGATTTTATGTAGGCTAAGCCATAAGAGCTTGGTACCAATATTACCAAAGCACTGCCACAGGGGCTTCACTTGGAAGTTGCATAGAGACTAGGTCAGAGATAAAAGATATCAGGCAAGCTGTCCACTTTTCTATTATGGAAATGAAAGGTTAAGCATAGTTCACGAAGACATCATGAAGAAGAAATTGACCAAACAGATAATGATCCAGGAATGAGGAATGTAGTAGTATTTTGAAAGTGGTTGTGAAGTAAATCCACCATTAATGGTCCTGCCAGGTACCTCACTGTACTCATGGCAGAAATGCAATTTTACTCTTAAATCTTCTTACCCAGAACATCAAGCTGTTGCCTTTAAAAAAATTCAAAGATTCTCTTACTTACTCAATCGGCTCTTCCTTTGGGATCACAACTAAATTAGAGGGGGGAAAATACAGCATTAAGAAGAATCTTAAACATAATAAAATCTCCCTAAAATTAATATCTATACATTAGAACTTGTAAATTTATATTTCCATGAAGATTAGATCTGAGTTCAATCCCCAGTAACAGGGAGGGAAAGGATTTACATCGTCTATGAAGGATACACAAAAATACAAGAAAGAAAGCTTAGGAACCAAAAAGGTTTAAAAAAAAATAGAGCCAGGCACTGGTAGCTCACACCTGTAATCCTAGCTACTCAAGAGGCTGTGGCTCAAAGCATAGAGTGCTAGCTTTGAGCAAAAGTGCTAAGGGATAGTGCCCAGCCCTAAGTTCAAGCCCTATAACCAAAAAACTTAAAAAAAAAAAAAACCACTAGAAAAAGCTAGGGGGCTATGGTTCCTGCTACAATTCCAGCTACATTGAAGGCTGAAAACAGGATTCAGTTGGGAAGCTAGCCATGCAATTAGGAAGAACAGAAAAAAAGTAAGAACTAAAGATGTAGCTCAAATAAGGAGGGCATAAAGTATAAGAAAAACAAACTTCTGGGTGCTGCTGGCTCACGCCTGTAATCCTAGCTGCTCAGGAGGCTGAGCTCTAAGGATGGAGGTTCCAAGCCAGACTGGGCAGGAAAGTCCGTGAGACTCTTATCTCCAATTAAACACTAGAAAACTTGGAAGTGGGGCTGTGGCTCAAAGTGGCAGAACACTAGCCTTGAGCAATGAGCTCAGGGACAGAGCCCAGATCCTGAGTTCAAGCCCTATGACCATGACTACCACCACCACTACCACCAACAACAACAACAAAAAAAAAGCCAAGACAGCAGGAGGCCATGAGTTCAGCCAGAAAAAACTGAAATGAATATATAAACAGGAATACATAAATCCAGGAAAAGCAAAGAATATAGGGAAATAAACTTCATCAATCTAGAGAGGTCCTTATATGAGGCAAACCTAGGAATACCATATACAAAGCATCTCAAATCTCAATTCATATATCTACAAAGATATTTCAACACAAGCCACTTTGTTTTGAGAGAACTCTACTTACGGGAGCCCAAATCATCATCACTGCTGCTTGAATCCACTGACAAAAGACCCCTGAAAAAAAAAGATTGCAAATGAGGGCTGCCAATATAATAAGCAACCAAATTTCTAAAATCTTAAATATATAGGACAACCAGAATTTCTCTAAATTAAAAAAGACCTAAAAAACCAACACCAAATTCTTCTGAAATATTACTTCACAAAACTAGGAGGGGTGACAACGTGAAACTAGACTTTTTTTTTTCCTGGTAGTACTAGGGATTGAATCCAAGGCTTTATACTTGCTAGGTAAATGCTCTACTACCTGAG